GGACCGACCCAAATCAATTTTCCTCCGGGAGCCGGGGATCCCCTTTTCATTTCTACATCTGAAATCTACACTCTGAATATTTTATGGTTAAAAATTCAAATTCATCTAATTTACATCAAATATCTTGAAACATTTAAATCATTTGATTAAAATTAACTAATAATAATTAACTTCTAATAAATTGTGCTCATAAATGTAAAATATTATTAAATTTAAATTAATAAATCTCTTTTTGCTTCAATATATTCAAATTTTAATACATTTATTTTTATGTTTCTTTCAGAACTTGGATTTTCCTTTGTTTCAACCTAAACAGAATGTCCTTCTTCGAGAGCCGGGTAACCACATATAATAATATTTGCTGAATTTTATGCATTAAATGATTTAATGGAATAAAAATCAAATTCATTTAATTTACATCAAATATCTTGAAACATTTAAATCATTTGATTAAAATTAACTAATAATAATTAACTTCTAATAAATTGTGCTCATAAATGTAAAATATTATTCAATTTAAATCAATAAATCTCTTTTTGTTTCAATATATTCAAATTTTAATACATTTATTTTTATGTTTCTTTTTCAGAACTTGGATTTTTTTTTTGGACCGACCCAAATCAATTTTCCTCCGGGAGCCGGGGATCCCCTTTTCATTTCTACCTCTGAAATCTACACTTTGAATATTTTATGGTAAAAAAATCAAATTCATCTAATATACATATAATATCTTAATAAATCTGATATGTTTCTTTCAGAACTTGGATTTTCCTTTGTTTCAACCTAAACAGAGTGTCCTTCTTCGAGAGCCGGGTAACCACTTATAATAATATTTGCTGAATTTTATGCATTAAATGATTTAATGGAATAAAAATCAAATTCATTTAATTTACATCAAATATCTTGAAACATTTAAATCATTTGATTAAAATTAACTAATAATAATTAACTTCTAATAAATTGTGCTCATAAATGTAAAATATTATTCAATTTAAATTAATAATTCTCTCTATTGTTTCAATATATTCAAATTTTAATACATTTATTTTTATGTTTCTTTTTCAGAACTTGGATTTTTTTTTTGGACCGACCCAAATCAATTTTCCTCCGGGAGCCGGGGATCCCCTTTTAATTTTGGTCTTTGAATTTTACACTTAAAATATTTAATGGTATAAAAATCAAATTCATGTAATTTACATATAATATCTTAATAAATCTGATATGTTTTCTTTTCAGAACTGGGATCTTTTTATCATCTATCAAAATCAATATTGTTTCAGGAGCTAAGTAACCTTTTTTCATTTTCTACTTTACATTTTCTATGGTATATACATTTTAATTTTGTAATTTATTTAAAATAATTTAAAAATTTTAAATAAATTATATTTACTATATATATTCTTTATATAATTACTCTCCTTTAATAACCAAATAATATTATTATAATTCAATTTTCTTTATGGTTCTTTTCAAAACTGAGATTTTTTTTTTCATTTACTTAAATCAAAATTCCTCCGGGAGTCGGAGATCACTTTTTCATTTTTAATGGTATAAATATGATTGTTTTATAACTTATTAAAATATTATAGAAATATAAAAAAATATTTAAATTTATGACTTTAATTCTGACTTTTTATTAATCAAGTTTAAATGTTTATATGAATAATTAATGTTTTATGAAAAGTAATAAGTTATTTAAGAGTTTTATTAAAAGGAAATATTTACTTTTACAAATTTTTATAGCATTCAGACCTGGAAAATTCTTTAATGATATCTTAAATACCATTAATATCAATCTATAATGAGAAATTTTTAGCTATTACTGGATCACTTGTCGACTTGATACACCACTATTTGCCAATATCTATATCACCACATCAAGAACACTCTTTGCAGGAGCATTTCTGAAAAAGATTATTGAACAATAATTGTTGTATATGATGGAAGGAGAATATAAAATAGTTAAATGGAATTTTTTACCTTGGAAGTTATAAAAATATATATATTTATTTTCTTATTTTGAATGGAAGATAAAGTTTAATATTTACATAAATTACCTCAAGTTGCCACTATGTTGAAGATTTGACATTTTAGTGGTTTAAGTAAATAAAAAATGTAATAATCGAGTGTAGAAGGAATAAGATGCAAGTTCTGCCATACCATAAAATGAGTTAACAATAAAAATATTTGTTATCATCATAAATATCTTCTATTATCATTATGAAATAAAACTAATGATAAAACCCCTTGCTAAAGTGAGTGCACTATATAAAAGCAGTCTATCTCTCATCCACATTCCGGACCGCGACCCCTTGTATTGTTAATATATGATTGGCCTATCCATTCTTCTGTTATCTATGACCCAATCCCGCCAACCAGTGATGCTCTATCAATTAGTATCATAGAGTAACACTGTATGATTAGTATAAGATATGTGGGTCATCAAGGTAGATTAACAATATTATTTTCAATATTATCTTCAATATTATTGTCAATATTATTAATATTGTTTATCTATCTCGATGTATATAACACTTTATATGCCTATATTCGGCAACCATTTTATCTTTAGTCGTGGCCCTAAAGTTTGGTAGCTATATTACATCATAAATCTTATAATACCGTGTCGAAAACTGTTATGTCCGATACAATTATTAATAAATTTGATCCGCAAATAAAATAGGCCATGGAAATCAGTGACAGCATTAGAAGTTAAATTACAAATCTAGTACTCATTTGATCGTATCGGTAGTTAGCCAATCTCATATTTTTAAATAAATTACCCGTGGAACATTGAGTTTGAATGGACAGGAATCCAACATTTTTGTTGGCCCATGGAACAAAATCCAGCATTACACTCATCTCTTACCATAGGAATTGATCTCCCATGACAAATATCAAAAATAAGTATTTAACAGAGCTGATAATATAAAATCGAGGTATGTTTATCTAAGATCATCAACATAGTCGGATTTTATTGTGGAACCACTATTTACTTTTGTTTGTGAACTATATTATAGTCAACATAATATTGGAACCGATATTTCATATTTAGTACATCATACTTATGTGTAATTTATATTTATTTATTTCAAATATTTATTATTATTTATTATAGTCATGTTTAAAACCAGAAACAGAACATTCAGTAAATTGGAACGAAAAAAGTTTACAGGGATGCGATGCTCAGTTAGATTTTGTAATAGGAAAACATCAGATAAAGACTTAAGTTTTTTCAACTATCCAGCTGATGTAGAACGACGAGCTTTATGGATTAAAGCTTGTGAAACACAACGAAAAGTCAGCTTTAATCCTAAGTATCAAAATAGTTTTCGTGTTTGTGGAGATCATTTTGAAAAACACATGTTTTTAAATCAGATAACTAAAAACCGATTAGTTTTTAACGCAGTCCCTACATTATTCAATGGTAAGTCATTATGTTTAAAATCTAATTGATGATCAATGGTATAGTTAAAATTTCAAAAAATTAAATCTACATTTGTTTAAATTATTTTACTCAAATATTTAGAAAAAAATTTACCTTCAGAAATATATATAATTTTTATTTACATTTTTCATTATCATTTGTTATTTTTATTTTAAGGTATATTGTTTATCTGAATTATTTTATTAATAATATACATAAAAATATTTTGCTTATTTTAGATGAAATATTGGATCTAAGAAGAAACTTGAAAAAAAGAACAATTTACTCTGAACTAATTGAAGACACTGATAATGAGATTTTAAGTGATGTTGAATTTGAAAATCCAGAGAGTTTAATTGAACCCTCATTAGATATTTCGTACAATTCATCTTCATCTTTTATTCAAATGTCATCTCCAATACAATCTAGCCTATCAGAAAACTATTCTAATGAACTCTCCACAGAAACCTACATTAAACCTGAACTAGGAAAAATAAATCAATTATTAAATGCTGTTATTCTTTTAAGTCAGCAGTTAAAAAAGTATGAAAGTGAAGAGGATATTTTAAAGTTATGTGATAAATATTTGTCCCCAGAATTATTTAAAATGGTTAAGTTACATATGGATGTAAAATTGGAAATGAATGTAGATATAGAAAATAATAAATATATTCAACATTTTGTATAATACATTTTAACATCAGTTGAACATAGTTTAAAAAAAAAAAAGTTTAAATATTTAAGACTTTTTATCATAGTATTCAATAATGTAAAAAAAAAAATAATTTTGGAGATTTGATATTAACATATGGCATTATTGGTTTAATTTTATTAAGGAGTATTTTTTAAACAACTTGTATATTTTACATAATTTGGTTATGATAAACAAATTAATTATATTTTATTACTTTATTGTATAAACTGTTATTAAGTAACAGAATTAATAAATGTTGATTGAATATTGATTTGAAAAAAAACATGTATAAAAAAAAGATGTAATGTATGTAATTTTTAGTTGTTCACTAGCACTTTAAAATGTTTCTGATAAGTATTAAACTAACCTGTTCTCAATTGATTTTTGTGTTTTGTGATTTTTAACTGATATATGTATATATATATATATATATATTTAACACAATTATTATTTATGTATTAATGTAATCAAAAATTAAATGAAATATTTTTTTTGTGTGTTGTTGACAATTTAAATTTTTTTTTTTTCTAGCGTATTTATTTATTTTTTTTTTGAATGCTAAAAATTTACTGTATTTCATTAATTGCTCCTAAACTAGGCTTGGATTTTATAGCACTAAAAAATACTGAAATATGGACTGGTGTATGATCTAAAAAAAAGAAAATAGGCAGCAAATATATTATAAATAAATAATAACTGTATGTGTGCAATTGAAATGTACACGAAATGTATACTTTTTATTAAGGAGTAGTAAGGAAGGGAATGATTTTATCTAATATTTAAATATAATAACAGCAAAATATTATTACATAAGAAAATCAACACATTCTGTAACATTTCAATTAACTTTCGTTTTATTAGCAAATATAAAATTTATATAATAAATATTTTAATATTTATGGAATTGTCATCAGTTTGCTTTTCTGTCAGTCTGGTAATACTGATGTGATTATGACAACTGAAGTATGATACAAAATGCTTTAGTTCTATATTTTCAAGTTTCCTGGCAAATACAGCATTAATAGTAGTACCACCTTTAGTTGTAGGATAATTTCTACTGTTTATCATTGTCAAAGAGAATTTTTGTTTAAGGAAATCGAGCAATGGTTGAGCCTCTGGCAATGAAAAGTTAACATTAAAATCTCCTGTCAAAACTTCAGGTCGATCGCAATAATATAAACGTTCACCAGTTATTTCTTCGAGTGTTCAGGAACCTGCGACTGTTAATGGTAGTAATGCCTTAAGGTATTTAATATCACTTATTTAAGGTATATATATGCGTCTCCTCTTTAATTTAAGTCGCCAAAAACCGGGTGGACGCTTAATGGCATTGGTTACTAAAATACAATATTGAATATACAATACATATTATAATATTACCTACATGAAATTTATTTATTTGAACAAGTGGAAAAAATTTCGAAGAAATAATATTTAGGTATAACGATAAGCAAAAATGGTAGATAATGTACACTATGGGTTAATTTAATTGACGCTGTGTTTATAAAAAAAAAAAATAGTTACAGATGATCCCCGAGCAGTTATTACACATAGCTCTAAAATTAAAGTGACATGGACTATAATTTAAAATAATTATAAACAGAATAGAATGACTATAAATAGTATAAATATTAAATTACGGATAGATCTAGATACAGATAGGATAGACACTATATTTTAATATAGACTGTACACACCTTATGTACAATGTACGTATTTGTTACTGTCTACGTTGATCCTACCTAACAACTAGCAAGGTTAGTAATTGTTTTTTTAAGTTAAGTTTTTTAAACTTTTATGTATAGAATTAATTTTATTTGGGGGACATTTGTTTTTACACCCTATAAAAATAAAGTTTTATGAACATATATGTGTAACAGAAGGCTTAGACCTCATGGATTTCCTAAAAAAGGTTGGTAAGATTTAAAATTAGGAAGGGGAACGGTCATCAATTTTTTATGAATATAGTCCCCCTACAACATTTTTCCCACTTTAACCACTGTCTATTGATGGAGAAAAAAACACACACATATATGTAAGGAATTTTATTTAATATTGGTTAAAATGTCTACAGAAATTGCTTTCTTTGTTGCTATCGTGCTATCAAAGTAAATCTTTTAGAGTTTTTGGCAACAGGTTGACAATGTTCTGGGTACAACAGTGCAGAATATTCCCTAGGAGTTATTATAGTTATCTAAAACATGTTAGGGAAAGGAGTGGTAGTGAAAGGATATCCAAAACCTACGAATGTGGCAAATTATTATTCAGTGTTATAGTCGCAACAATATTTAGTTAAATAAATACAATAAAGGAGTAAAATTTTAAAAAATGAATTGCTTTAGATTAAAAATTCCAGGAACTGCTATCGTGTTACGGATTTTATTTTGTTTCAACCCAAATGTGTTGCTTTATACAACAGTTACACTATTAATTATTATTTTTCAGTTTTTTAAAAGAACGAATAACCAAAAGAACAAGGCATAAATCCGTACAGGTGGATTAGCGATTCAAATATGGTCCAGCCGAGACGGTCCGACGCAGTGTGACCAGCGTGGTGGGCACGACCGTGTTAGCGGCATCGTGTTCGGTACACTGTCCGTGACAACATAACCAAGAATCTTTCTTTCTGAAGTGTCTATCTGAAAATGAGGTCTACACTTTGAGTTTGCGTATAATCGAATTAGTTTTTCGAGCTTAACGTTATTCCTGTTCCTTTGATTTTTCGCTAAAGGTAAGCTTTCCTTCCATCAATTGCCATAATACGTCTTCAACTCACTACACCGTTCGGTCGTCATGCATCGTTTATCACGTTCACGGGAACTGTTCCGCCTCAACGTGACGTGTGGCTTCGCCAGTTTGTCGTTTTAAATCGAATATTATATTAAATTTCAACCGCCATTTCGTCTTATATCGTTTCATATAGTATATATAGTACGTCTCGTCTTGTTCACAGTTAAATGGCCGAGAGTCGTGGTAACTTCCGTGGTGGATTCGGCAGAGGTGGCTCTCGTGGCAGAGGACGCGGACGTGGTCGTGGCCGTGGCAGAGGTAAGGAAGCCGAGAAAGAATGGGTGCCAGTAACCAAGTTGGGCCGTTTAGTCAAGGATGGCAAAATCTCCTCGTTGGAAGAAATCTACTTGTTCTCGTTGCCGATCAAGGCGAGTGCTTACTAATACTAGAATTTTGCTTATTTTTTTCCCCGACTAACCATGTTTTGTATATTAGGAATTCGAAATCATTGATTTTTTTATTGGTTCTTCCTTGAACGATGAAGTATTGAAAATCATGCCTGTCCAAAAACAAACTCGTGCTGGTCAACGTACTAGATTCAAGGCTTTCGTAGGTATGTACAACACTAATTAGATTTTAACAGGATGTGAAAGGTGAATTTAAATATTTGTTGCTTATTTGTGTGAAAAAAATTAGTAAACTTCTCATTAAAATTAAATTTGTTGAATACAATTTTTATTATAGGTTATTGTATTTTAAAACAATAAATGAAAAATTTTCTCCAACCATTTAAATAATTATTTCATTATAGCTATTGGTGATTCTAACGGACATATTGGATTGGGTGTTAAATGCTCAAAAGAAGTAGCAACAGCCATCAGAGGTGCTATAATTTTAGCCAAATTATCTGTAGTTCCAGTAAGACGAGGTTACTGGGGAAACAAAATTGGAAAGCCACATACAGTTCCATGCAAAGTAAAAATTATTTAGACGTTATTGTATGTGGAATTATTAAAAAAAATTGTTTCTATAGGTTACAGGAAAATGTGGATCAGTTGCAGTGCGTTTGATTCCAGCTCCAAGAGGTACTGGAATTGTCAGTGCTCCTGTACCAAAAAAACTTTTAACCATGGCTGGAATTGAAGATTGTTATACATCTGCCCGTGGTTCAACTGGTACTCTTGGCAATTTTGGTATGTTCAACATTTTTAAATTAAAATTTGAAAACTGATTGTTTTGATTATTATTTGTTTATTATTTTAGCTAAGGCTACTTATGCTGCTATCGCAAAGACATATGCTTATTTGACACCTGATTTGTGGAAAGATGTACCACTTAAGAAGACCCCATATTCTGAGTTTGCAGACCATCTTTCAAAATGCCACAAAGTCGCCCAGAATGTCAGGGCTGACGTTTAATTTTATACATGTTGATTATATGATGCAGGCATATTATACATTGCTTAGTATCAAATAAAATGATTTAAAAAACCAATCTAGTTTCATTTATTTGACTTAATTATTACCATTGTTTCCCTTTGCTATAAGTTAATTGCTACAATTTTAATGTGACTGACAGAAAAACCTTTAATTTATGCATTTTTACTAAACTGGTAGGAATTAAATTCAAATATTTGCTGGAATGAAACTTTATCATTGTTTATATTTATGTGCTGTGCTTAAATTTAAATATTAATACCATTGATTTTATAATACAATATTTTACTATTATAAAATCAATGTTAATACTATACCTAAATTATATTTATTTTTGTAGTTTTAGAGGAAATTAATGTTGTTTTGTATGCTTGAGTGTTATGATGAATGTGTGGACATATTTTTTTTATTTTAGTACTTGATGATTTATGTTTTTCTGAAATTATTACTCTTAATGATAATTTTAGAAACTATACATTTTGTGTATTAATCACTAATTTCAATATTATTTTATCTTAAATAATACTTTTCTATTCATTATGTTGTGCTTTGCTCTATTTTTCAAGAAAATGTATTGACATATGATTACATATTTACATGGGTGTAAGTAATGCTGTCTTGGACCCTGTACACCAGCTTTAAATCTATAATTTATGGTTTGATAATTTATATGTTGGTCATGGTGTTTCTATTTTATAAGACAATAAATTAATTTATTGATTAAATATTTTATTGTAATGATTACTTTATAATCAGTATGTGTTAGGATATAATGGGTTTCAATATGTCAAGAGTTTTTTTGCAGTGGTCCAATGTTAGTGGTAAAATTACCAATTTTGTTGCAACTAAATTTCTAATTATAAAGAACAAATGTATAACTTATTTTATCATTGTTTAAACAAAGTTTATTTACAAAAAGTTATATTAATAACAAACTGTTTAATCTACAAAAATTCTGGCTATTGAATCTATAGGAATGATAGTATTTTAAGTAGAGCCTAGATTTATATGCATTTAAAAAAACTTAATACCTATCATGTCTATTTGTGCTCTATTCAAAGCGATTACAAAATTTACTGTAAATTAAAATAGTTAATTTATTAAAAACCCATTAAATATGCATATTATATGCAATATAAAATTAGGTGTTTGAATTCGGTGTGATATGAATCTTGGACATTTTAAATCTCCATAGATGCGCATACTTTTAGTACAAACAAGCAAATGCTTATAAATCCAGGCTCTAATTATAAGGATGGTAAGTTAATTTTTATAATACACAACGGATTATGGAGCTAAGGTAGTTTTCTCACAACGGTCTTCCCACCTAGAAATCAATACTGCCATTGACCAGGTTTGAATCTAGGACCAAGTGTTTAGTAGCAGTTGCCTTGACTACAAAAACCCTATAATTTTTATATTTGATGATATACCTCAATATATCCGAAGAAAATATGAAAAAATAAAAATGTAATATTTAAAGAAGTTTTTATTGGTTTAAATCTTGCAGAAACATAAAAAATATCATTGATAAATTTACAGAAACAATATTTTACAAACCCAAAAAATAATTGAACTACATCAAATTTCACTTAAATTTATAATAATAAGTTCCCCCACAGTATTATGGAGAAAACTAGTTCACTTTGATAATTTAGCAAAATTAAAATTAAAAAATTGGAGGAAAAAATATTTTCCTTTTAATAATTAAATAACTTGATTTTCAAGTTGCGTCAAAATGGTATAAAATATAATGCTGGATGATGCAATAAGTATATAAAAAAAAAGTAGGTTACAAATACACAAGTAAATGAAATAGAAGTAAAACTGATTAATATTAATATATCCAGGCAAATATTGGTTCCGTTACAACAGCAGTTAATGTTTGATTATAATTTTAGTGGTTTGTATATTGAATACCATTATCATACACATCAACTCAATTGATATTTGTACTCCAATTCTTTTATTCGAGTAAATAAAATCTGAAACATTTATAAAAATAAAAAAACAAAATAATAGTAATAAAAAATGTAGTTATTAATTAAACACTATTATGAAAGAAATGGTAGGGTTAATAATGGGGTAAGGAAAGAATTAGGAATTATAAATTTATCCTTAAAGTATTTGTACCTAAAATTTGTATTTTGTAATACATCATATAAAAACCTTATGATAATGAATAATAACAATATAGTTAGAGCATTATAATATAAGGTACAGCATAAAAGAAATAACTATTTTAAACTATGGGAAAAATTAAATTTTAATATTTATGAAAATTTGTATGCGGCAAACATACAATAAACATATTAAAATAATTAATTAAGTCTACTTCATTAACAGAACTTAAGTTATAAACACAATTGATGAAACATAATTTATATATACAATATACATGTTAAAATTACTTTTATATTTTTGGAACACATTAATCAGTGTATATTATCAGTATATTTAAAATATGTCTAGTTTCTTTTTTTCTTTCTGTTTGTACTAACATGATGTCAAAAAATGCATAAGCTTCAAATATAATTTGAATTTTGAATTTTATAAATACAATATGTTGGGAACTAACAATTTGAATTTTTGACATCTATATGTATATAATATAATATACATCTTGATAAATACAAAAGTAAGTATAAAATGTGTTTAATTTCTTACATTATTTAAAACTTAAATTTAATCATAAAAAAAAAAATATATTTTTTTTATCAATGTACACAAAATACAAATACATAATATTAGAGCTCAGATTTTTATAAGCTTAAAATTACTATAATATAAATATTAAAATACCACATTTATGCACTAAAAAATGTATAATTTATAAGTTTTTAATTTTAAATAGTTATTTTTTGAATATCATATAATTATTTACATTATAAACGTCACACTGTGATTCAATGTTTTTTTTTTTAATTTGATCAAACTTAAATCTAAAAATTTGGTACAAACACAAAAGATTGATAATTTATCATTTATTTACCTCTTAATTCAAATTATTTTTAAGAAGTTAGAAAATTTACTAAAATATGCAGTTACATCCTTAAAATCCCAAAAATATGCAATTAAAATATAAAATCATCAAATATCAATCAAACGTGTATCTAGGTTCACATTAAATTGGATAAATAGAAAATACATGCAATTTCCTAAACATCCGAGTTCTACATATGATATTGATCCAGATTCATCACTTCAATGAGTAAATGGTTTTTGGATAAAAGAACAATATTGTTTTGATACCTATTTTTTAGTTATGTTAATTTAATTTCTTAAAGTAATCAATTAAAAACCAAGTTCATGCTTTATATTGTCCTAATTATCCAAAGTTTATGACAATGAAAGCTAATTGTGCATTTTCATAAGAGTATTGCAGTGTATAATAAAATATTGTGTGATAATGATTCAATAATACATAAATATTAATATCTATTCAGCAAAATTGTTAACAAGAAAGATAAATTTTACAAAATACATTAGATACAATATTTATTTTCAATAATCTTAATAATGTTATTTATTAATAGGTTTATATCCTTAATAATTATTAATGAAAGCTATTTAAATGTAATCAAAATAAATAACTATGGCAAGAAATAAGTAGTGTAATAAAACTAGTGGATATATGATATATTTTTATTTATTTTAAAGATACTTAAATGAAAAAAAAAAAAAAATGAAAAAAATACATACTTTTTCATTAATTGATTAATCATAAGTTGACAATTATTATTCATAGTTAATAAGTAATGAGTGAAATACATTTACCCCAATTACGATATTTTATTTCTAATTAATAACAATAACATTATATATATAATATGAATTGAATAAATAAACGATATATAAATATATAGATATTTCCAAAACTTAAGAAAAATGTATTTGAATGATAACAAAAATGGAATGGTAGCAAAATTCATTAAGTTCTACCACAATTCATGTTCATAACTTTCCTCCATATTGGATATAGGGCATTCGGACGCTACATGTCCCACATTGTCACAATAAGAGCAAAAACCATACTCGTAATTACTGATGACCGAAAAAAAAAAAAGAATACAGTTATTAAATAAACAAGGAACAAAAACAAAATTAATATTTTGTTTAAATAAAAACATCTACTAGTTACTAAAGATAAACTTGTTTAGAAAGAATACATAAAATAAAAAATGTGCTAAAATATTTAAAACAGATAAGTAATTTAAAAATTTAAGTACATGGAATGTAACTATATGCAAATTAATTTACAAATTATGATGAAAATTAATATTATAAGTAATGTACCAAATAAAATCATGAAATTACAGTAATCTACTTATAAATATTAATTTAAACAATATTTTGAAAACAGTGATAAGCATAATTATATTCATAAAAACAGTTTTTAATTTTTAAGCATGAGATTTTTCACATATTTCATTTTAATTAAAGTAAGCATACAATAGAAATAGGTAAATAGGTTAAGTTAGCGTTTTCCAAACTCTTTTGGATCATGCATCCCCAAAATTAATTGTGCCTTTTAATAAAACATTTTTTTTATTTTAAATATAAGCAAATTATTGTTGATCTAAAAATAAATATATAGTAGTGTAATATGCAATATAAATATTTGTCACTTGCACTTCTTTTAATAAGTGCTTTCACCTCCCAAGGGAGGTGCACCTAACAGTTTAGGAACTGCTGGGGAAAACTACTAAAACTAATTAGAATTTTTTTTATAGAAACTTAATACTAATTCGATCACTAGATATTGAACCAGTATATTTTATTTAGTGTATTAAATACTTTAGTTTAATGGCATTTGTCTAACCATAAGTCAAAACTCAAACAAATAATTTGGACCATCAATTATAAATCATAAATTAGAATTTACTAACTACAATTTGTCATCTAAAATTTACATGATCAACAAAAATTTGAAAAAAAAAAAATGATTCTACTAACGAATAAATCATAGTATTAATAATTAAATATGAATAATATTTAGCGCATTGATTTGATTAGTTAAATGATTAACAGACTAGACATTTTTTAATATTATTATTATTTGTGGGATGTTTTATAAATATATTTTTTTATTTAAATTGTACATTTATTTACCCCCCCCCCCCCAAAAAAAAAAAAGAAATGAGTGTCAATTGTTTTAATCTACATTTAAATAAATAGCAATAAAAATATATGACTAATGAACAAAATGATGTGTAATATTCATATTCATATTATTTATCCTTTATTCATGATTGAATTATAAATTCCACTAGAAATGATTTTTATAGATATAGTAGAATATAATTGCAATGTTATTATTTTCAAAATAGCCTAGAAAATATGCAGTAGATTTTATTAAACAATATATTCAGATTATAATATCTTTATAATAATTTTAAATATATTTAGAAAAAAAACTTCTGTAAGAATAAATTAGATGAAAATGTTGTTATAATTAATAACAATATGAAACAAAAAAGTACATTATCTATCCTGTAAGGCTTGATTGTCACAAATTAATAAATTTTTGTAGCAAAAGCAAAATATAACATTTTTACTACAAATTTATAGCAAAAACAATAAAATCTAATATATCCACTTATTAAATATACCATTATTGATACTCTTTCCTAATGTTTAATTTTAAATAATATCAAAATATCTAGCAAATAAAATTAAAATTCTACAATACAATTAATTTTTATTCTAGTAATTACACTTTGAGTCAAAAAATTGCTATTAAAATATTATATTGAAAATTAAATCATACCAAAACAAGAAAAATGTCAAATTTAATAAATATTGCCTTTAATAAATTATAATTATATCAAATAAATTACAGGTATACATAACAAGTATTATTGTAGTAAGACAAGGCTGCCAAATTTATTTTGGAAGCTGGTTATAATTTCAATTACATTTATCTGGAAGGATATCTAACAAATAAGACTTGCACTGATAATTCATCTATTTTCTATACACAGATACCTTAATATAAAAGTATTTAAATCAAATATTTTAAATTACACGTTTTAATATAAAAAAAATAATAATAATTATTATCGATGAGACCAATGAAGGGACGAAGCTAATAACTTCAATATTTAGTGATAAATCTGATATTGATAATAACATAAAATATGGGGTGCAATTGATTAACTGCTATATTTATATATAATAAATAAATCAAATAATATTTATTCAATAAAAGCAATAATTACAAAATAAGATCATATTTAATATTAATTATGTATTATTACAACTATAGTAAATGGTGGGTGAGGAGAGACTGACTTTGGTTACTATTTTTACAATATTTCAAATAAAAATATTCTCTTTAATATCGTTAAGTCAATATACGTCAACTACATGGACAAACAACTGCAACAATACATAATCATGAAAATAATACCAACAAGTTTGCAACAGATATACATGCCACACTATGCGTTTTGACAGGTCCAAATAAGCCCAATTACATTGTTTCTAATTATAAATATAATATATAATATACTATAAGTATAATCTATCTATCTATATATATATATATATATATATATATATATATATATATATATATATATATATATATAAAAATGGAGCCAAAAATATATAACATTTCATTAATTGAGAATGGCTGAAACGATTTGGGTCAAATTTCTTTACTGTTTGTAATTGACAAGAGAAGGTTTTTAAGAAAATTTTTTTTTAGGAAAGTGCTATTGTTTAATAAATCGTAGTTTAATTTAATAATTTTTAACTCGGTCGATAACTGCACAATTTAAAATGAATTATTAAATGAAACTATTAAAAACTATTTAAAAATTATTATTTTATGTTTGGTACTAAATGATGGGTATTGCATAAATATTAAACAGCAAGCTCTTGCAACAGGTGCCAAAACAAACAAGAATGTTAGTTTGAAGGATTATTATGCATATCGGTTGATGATTATACGCGATCAGGACAACGTTATTCAATAATGTCGTGAGCTTTATCAACAATTCATAGTTGACATGTATGTAAAGATAGAGTGAACAATTTCAATACTTGCGATTCAACAAAAAAAAGCTGCGTGCGGAAAATTCTCAAAACATTTGTTAGATATCAGTGATGGGAAAGTTACTACACATGAAACAGGATGCATAAAATTACCTATCGATTTCTGCACAATCATTGATTTGCAAGATGCTCTCATTGACCAGATATTTCCTAATGTACACAAACAATACACAAACCATGAGTGGCTGGCAGAAAGAACAATTTTAGCAGCAAAAAATGTGGATGTTAATGAATTGAACCTCAAGATACAACAATTTTTACCAAGAGACTTGGTGTCATACAAATCTATTGATATATTTTGCGATGCTACTGAAGCTGTAAATTATCCAACAGTTCTTAAACTCATTAGATTTACCAGGCAAGCCACCACATAATTTACAACTGAAGGTTGGATCCCCAGTTATTTTGCTTCGTAATTTGAATCCACTATTGTTGTGCAACAGCACGCGATTAGTCATTAAAAAATTAATAAAAAATGTTATCATAGCAATCATTTCAAATGGAAAATTCCGAGATGAAAATATATTATTACCGTGAATCCATATTATACTCACAGATGAGCCAATACAATTTAAACGCCTTCAATTTCCAATTAGATTGGGATTTGCAGTGACTATCAATAAGCCTCAAGGCCAAACGATGTCTGTCTATAACTTAGATTTGAACACATTATGTTTTTCACATGGACAATTATACGTGGCATCCTCTCGAACCATCCAGTTTGTTTGTGTTGGCAAAAGATGGGATAACGAAAAATATTGTACACTCTGTTACATTAAGGGATTGATATAGTTTTTTACTAATATTGTCATAATTAGAGATATATATAATTTTAAAGGATCAATTTTAATAAATTATCAAAAAAATAAGTTTAATGTTTTTTCATTTTTATATTCCGTCACTGTTCACAGCACTCCATACCTTTTTCATTTATATACCATTTCCTTACATACTTATATATTAAATTAGTTATTTTTTTCTAGCAAAATATTCTCTAGAAATAATTTATATGACAAAACAACGTTTGTTGGGTCAGCTAGTATATCAATATATATAATAGTTATTTCAACATATATATATATATATTATATTTTGATAGTATTAAATTTTGATGTTTTTCTTGTCATTAGTTTATGAATAATGACCCATCAAAAAAATTTTCGATCCTATATTGGGTCGCAACCCATAGGTTGGGAAACGCTAACTTTTAGAAAAATATTGAATAGAATAGTATATGATAAAATATAATAAATGTTATTACCTGTCAAAGCTGCCATCAGAAAAATTGTCGTCCCAATCATTATCAATATCTCTATCATTTCTATTTCTACCGAGTACATCACCCAAGCGTATTGGATCAAACAAAGTTTCTTCTAAGGCAATATTCCAATCAGCACCCTCACGATCACGTTCACCCCATAACACTCCTAATGTTCGGCGCATTGATTGATTTCGTCGATTTCGTCTTCCTGTGTTATTTCGTCGGTTTCTATTAGTCTCAACAGCTAAAAAGATAAAATAAATTTAGTTAATGATCTCAAAATATTATATTTTGAAAAAAAATAAAATATTACTTCTATTATTGTTACGTTCTATTTTCAATGATTCACGCCTTGATTTAATATCTTCTGGTAAACATTCAGTTATTTTGTCTAAAAAGGTATCTAAAGGTAGACAATAAGACTTATTCCTCACATATACTCGACATATTGGACATTGATTAACTCTTCTAGTCCATGATTCTATACATTCATGGCAAAACGTATGAGAGCAATTAAGTACAGTTGGCTGTAATATAAAAATATATGTATAAAAAAAAATGTAATGTATAACTCAAATTTTATTAGTATATCTGTGTATTATATAATAAAGGTATTTTACAATAGAAATTACTTGATTAAAAATAATAATAATTACTATTCAAAGAAAATTAAACTAAATTACTGCAATACTAGGAAATATATATTTATAAAAAAAAAAATCAACAAATAAATATTTATATTTTTTAATAAAATGAGTATTAGCCTAAAATTAAAAACTAAGAACTTATAATTTTTTGCCACAAGCCTTTTTTTTTTTTTTTAATTCTGAGTTAAATTATTGATATAAAGAGATATTTTGAAAGATTTATTTGCATATTTATTATTCAAAAATAAAATGACCATCAAAAAATATACATTTTTGCTTTATTAGGAATAAAAAAAAATTTACATTTGATTATTATTTTAGATTTAAATGAAGTGATAACTATGGCTAATGGTTGTAAATAAAAATGTTACCTTAATATACATTTCATAGCAAATATTGCATTGTAAATCATTTTCAATACATTGTTCCATTTGATGTTCAATCCAAGAAAAATTTGCTCCATCATTTATACTACGCAACTGTTGACGTAGTGAATTTACTAAGTTTTCAGCTTCGTTTAATTTTTTTACAGCTTCTACTAACATAGTATCAGGAGTACCTTCTCTTGTGTCTCCAGAATTTTTATCTTAAAAAAAAAAAAAATGATAAAAAGGTATTTATAAATAGGATAACAGTAATCTTACTTGTTAAACTATACACATTTTGAGATTCAACTTGATTTTTTTGTGATCTATAATAAATCTCATTAGTAAAACAGAATAATAATTATAATAAGGAATGAAAGCCATACTTCTCTACAGGATCTTGCGAAGAACGTGTTGGTCTTGTTCTAAATAATGCATTGGTAGGCGCAGCAGTTTGAGCTGAAGTGGATTCCATTCTTCTTAATTCCGTAGGGAGTATTATATCTTCATCATCTGTAGTTTCATCTAAAAAGAAAGATATTGCTGCATATCAAAACAAAATAGGGGATGTTAGACTTCAACACTTAAATTCTTAGAAATAAATAAATTATATATAAAGAATTTTCAAAACAAATCAAAAGATAGTTACTTCATATAATAGTTGAGTAATATTGTAAGAGAAAAAATAAGATATTTACATAAAAAGCATTGGGAAGAGATAATTATCAAATAAAAACATACTCTTAAGTAAAAGCAACAATATGACATTGAGATACTTACGGAGTTGAAATAATGGGCTGTCAGAACGAACGGATTGCAAATCATGGGAGTTCCAGCAACGATTGCCAAAACGGCAAGATCCCCTCATGTAAAACATACAGACCGAAGACATGATTTGATTAGGAGCGTGTACTCGTAGCCTTTTAATAGAACGGCGGAACCGGATCACAGCGTGTCTGTTGCAGGTGTGTGTAGGACGATCTAAGTGTCGGGGTACGCGAACCGCTGAAATAAAAAGCGTTACGATCAACAACAGTATAACACTCGCATCAAATGGTGATCAAGGGTGGGCACGTTGCTGTATTATACATGAGCCGTATCGAACGCGGCCGCCAGGATGTACAGAGTGCAGAACGCGCGCAGTACTCACATGGGTGCTGGCGGTCGGCAAAAGAGACTGGGCGACGAGAAAATTAGAGAGATACCGGTGTTAACAACGATCGGCGGTTATAAATAGACACAGAAATCATTAGGAGGACGAGTACGAGATGAAGCGGCGGCGACGGGTGCGTCGTTAACCACTGACGAGTGCGGCTAGCGGACGACAGGTCGACGGCGTTCCCTTTATTACATATATTTTTTTTCTCCGTTTGCTTATCTCCAACCGTTGGTTGAACGCGGTAAATACCTGCTCACAACAGCACGGGCCCACGATCACCACGTTTGTGGTAAGGTTGAGGGGATTACCCGCAAGTCGTACGGCGTCCGGTTGAAATGTTGGTCACCCGTAATCGTCGTCGTCGAGTGTATAGAGTAATAATAATTACTCTATGGTATAGTCACAAAGCGACGGGAGTTGGGGGCAGTTGTCCTAAAAATGATAAGGATTGGAATCGAAAGACGGCGGCATAAAATGTGTTGCCAACATAAAATTTCTAAAAATTATATTATAAAATTATTTTTTTGTTTAAGAAGTTATACTGTTTCATTTGAATGATAATAATTACATTTTTTGATAATATTAACAGTAAGTTACAAATAAAATAAAAATAGGTATGAATTATATGAAATAATTTTAAATTGTTGAATACTTAGGCCCTCCGCACACGAGGCGATTGTAACGCTACACGATTTATGCGATAATATTATATATTATATGCGATACGAGCGATTTCCTATCAAAGTTAATGGGGATCCACTAATGACGCAATTTAATAACGACGCGAGCGACTGACTTCACGCGCGACCGACAGTGCTGATAGCTTGGCAGTCGCGTCGCACGAATCGCGCGCAATCACATTTTTATTTTTGTCATATATTATTTATTTATATATAATTTTAACCATGGAGGCGTTCAATATTAAATTTGTTGGTGAAATTGAAATTTCTTCTACACTCACACATTCTCTCATGTTGGTATTCTTCTGATATATGGCAGGAAATTTAATGACATTCTCACCTTTGACATTCTGTAAAATGCTACAAATTTAACGTCGGTTTCCTGAAGTTCTCTAGCCGAAACAAAAAGTCGACAGTAGTTATTTATTTGAGTATAAGGATGAATCTTAAATTTCCTTCTATGATCTTTTCTTGCTTTTTTCTACCAACCAACTTTTTGTACAAATAGTACGTAAACATTTTTTCTTCGTCACTAGATGAACTCAACATTTTAAAAAAGGTAATCAAAGAACCGAGCAAACGTCAGTAAACGACTGATAATAACTGAATAATACTTAAATAACGATGATAATAATCGCACTACAATTGCATCGTGAACTCATGAACTCGAAACAGTATTAAACAACAAACGAATTGACATTGCTCTCATCTCTGAGACACACTTCACTAATAATTCTAAAATATATATCCCAGGTTATAAATTGATTAATACAAATCATCCTGATAATACGGCACACGGAGGCGTGGCTATATATATTAAGTCATCTATTACTTACCATCCTTTGCCTGGTTTTTCCCAAGACTTCTGTCAATCTTGCTCAATTCAAATTAAATTAAACTTTACTTACTTTACTATTGCGGCAATTTACTCCCCTCCCAAACATAATATAACAACCGCTAGGTTTACAGAATTTTTTAACACAATTAAAAATAATTTCATAGTCGGAGGTGATTTTAATGCTAAACACCAATCGTGGGGCTGTCGCACAGGCAATCCTCGAGGCACTACGCTTCACAATTTTATAAACTTAAAAAAATACAAAGTACTTGCACCTCCTGCTCCTACGTACTGGCCATCTTCTCTCAAAAAAAAACCGGACATACTTGATATTTTCGTCACTAAATTACCCAATTCACTTTATAAAAACACAACAAATATTCTTGATTTAAATTCTGATCACTCCTCTGTACTATTAACTTTAAATACCTCTCCCCCAATGCTACAAACATCGCCTAACCTATTCAATCGTTTCACTGATCGTCTCAAATTTCATGATAATGTAAATGAAAATATTAAATTAAATATCAAACTCAAAACACCTGACGATATTGACTTAGCAGTTAAGGATCTCACTAACATTATACAGAATGCGGCGTGGTCTGCTACAAACGCAAATCCCGCCACTCCTCATATTTCCAACCCACTTCCAGAAGTGATAAGAACGTTGATAACTGAAAAGCGTAAGGCTAGAGCTTGTTATCAACGCACTCGTTTACCCTCACATAAAAAAATTTACAACCAACTGGCAAACTCTTTGAAGAAAACTCTCGCTAAACACAAAAATATAATGCTAGTTAACAATCTTACTAATCTCTCCCCAAAAGACGGCAGTCTGTGGAAAGCCACAAAAAAAATTCTCCGATATAAAACCCCCAACCTCCCTTTAATAAAACATAACGGCAGTCTTACGTCATCGGACTCTGAAAAAGCTGAATTATTTAAAATATATCTTTCTGAGATATTCCTGCCTCATCCAGATATATTTGATCCTGATACAATAACACTGGTCAATAGGTCTCTCAATGTCCCTCCTCAATTTTCTCTCCCAATTAAACCCTTCTCTCCTAACGATTTAAAATATCAAATCCTAAAATACCCACAAAAAAAATCTCCAGGCTACGATCTAATCACGGCCGAAGTAGTAAAATGTCTCCCCAAAAGAGCCATTGTTCATATTACTCATATTTTCAACTCAATAATCAGATTATCTTATTTTCCTCTACTATGGAAGTTCTCGACAATTATCATGATCCATAAGCCAAATAAGCCAGCTGATACAACTTCTTCCTACAGACCAATAAGTCTTCTTCCCTTCCTTGCGAAAATTTTAGAAAAACTTATACTTAAACGTATCCTACCAATAATTTCTGACAAAAAAGTTCTACCGGACTACCAGTTTGGTTTTCGTTCTTCGCATTCGACGACCCATCAACTGCATAGGGTAGTAGATGCAATATCTTTCTCTCTGGAAAAAAAATTATTTTGTACAGCAGCTTTCTTAGACATTTCACAAGCTTTTGATAGAGTCTGGCACGATGGTCTCCTGCATAAAATAAAAACATTTCTTCCTTCACCCTTCTATCATCTAATCAAATCATATCTAACTGAACGTACCTTCCAAATACGTTACGGGTCTGACACGTCAAGTATTGGCAGTATAAGTGCTGGGGTTCCACAGGGCGGCATTTTATCCCCCATTCTCTACAATATATTCGCAGCAGATCAACCAATCACACCAAATACATCAGTAGCAGATTATGCCGATGATAAAGTAATTATATCTATGAATGACAACCCATGCATAGCCTCCGCAAACCTTCAAACTCACCTAGACCTTATGGAGAATTGGTATACCAAATGGAGATTTAAATTAAACCATAGCAAGTCTATACACACCACCTTTACGCTTAGACCAGCTCTTACCCCTGAGGTAACTCTGTACGGTGCTCCAATTCCATCCTCTCCTTCAGTTAAATACCTTGGTCTTACATTAGATAAAAGATTAACTTGGGCCCACCATATTAGAGCAAAAAGACTTTCACTGAACAACCGCTTTCGTATCCTCAAACCTCTAGTCTCTAATAAACACACCTCCCTTCATGTCAAACTCCTTATCTACAAAACACTACTGAAACCAATATGGACGTACGGGATACAGCTATGGGGAAGTGCAAAAAAGACAAATTTAAATAAAATTCAATGTTTTCAAAACATTGCGCTAAGAAAATTAATAAATGCTCCCCCATACATATCTAACCATACTCTCCATACAGACCTAAAATTAAAAACTATCCACGAGGAAGCTAAACACTTTTACAAAAGATTCCACAACCGTCTTTCCTCCCACTCAAATCCTTTAATTAAAAACCTTTCCTCCCTCTCAATCCCCGGCAGTCCTCCTAGACGATTAAAACGTGAATGGTGTAGAGACCTGTTACAAATTGTAATATAGAAAAAAAAAAAAAAAAATACTAACTTATTAAATATATTTAATTCATTTACTTTTTTCATATAAACTATCAACATTTAAGTGTCATCATTGGGTGGCTTCTTTATTCACTTTTTGTATTTTGTATACTCATGTTATCTGTACCCCTTATCATATATGCTTATTGTGTCGTTTGATATAGATTGTATATTACGTATTAAAATAAAAAAAAAAAAAAAAACAATTGCATCGTGTGCGCCCCCATAATCGCATATATCGCATAAATCGCGCAAGAATCGTGTCGCGTTACAATCGTCTCGTGTGCGGAGGGCCTTATTTTTCAGTACATATTCAAAACTAAAACATATAATATTTTATATTATTTACATCTAGTATACATAGAAAATTAAAAAATGTATGAAAAACATGTATATTTTACGAAAGGTTTACATACAATTAAATATTAAGCTAGATATTTATAAACATGCATTATACATTACCAGGACCGTATTTAGGAATTTGACACCAGGGGGCAACAATAAAAAACGCTTCATTATATCAAATACAAATTTCTGCGAGTTTAAAAAGATCTTTCTGAAGAACAATTCGTTGTTGGTGTACACAAAAACATTCGAAGTGCAATGTCAACATAAGGATAGATTGTAAATCTTTGGTTCTATCGACAGTATTCGATCGTTACCGAGTATGTGTGTGTGTGTGTGTGTGTGTGTCGTGACACCGTGATTGGCGATATATATATTTTTTTTTGAGATACTTTTTATTTTGTAAGCAAGTTTCACTTCAAAAATATTAGATCATTAAATATTGAAAATATAAAAAAATTAGCCGTCCGGGGCAACAGCACCTTGTAGCTCCCCCTTAAATATAGCCCTGTACATTACATATAACATTATTAATGTTATAAATAATTATATGTTACCATGGTTGTTTAAAATTTGGTCCTTTTTTGTTGAAAATATACAAACAGAAAAAAAAAACTTTTATCACAATACAACTTTTATCAATATAAATTATATAATTGGATCTGGTAATTTTCGATTTAATCAGTTGGTACTGCTTTTTCAAATTTCGGACAAGTGCCAAATTGGTATAATTGGCATAATCGAATTATTAGTATTCGAAACATTTTTTTTAATCAAGAGATGTCCCGAAATAATCGAAACATTTTTATAATCACGAGATGTCTCGAAATAATCATTCGAAATGTTCAATTGAAATATAATATATAATTTTATTTATAAATGTTTTGAGAATTTTTTGTTGTTTTGTGGTGGAGTAATTCAAAAATTATAGCTATAGGTAATATAAATAACTAAGAATTACCGTATACCATTAATATTTGTCTAACAACCAGTCCCACGATTAACACGAATCGAAAATACAAAGACAAAGTGAACAATTAGTATTATATTATATCATATATCATATTATATCATATATTATTACTGTTATTTATATTATATCATTTTATTTATATCATATTCAATTATGAAGATTAAAAATAGTATTCCTCCCTTACTCCTTCGTTGCATGAAAATCATTCGAAATATTTTTTCATTTGATACATATTTCGAGATCAAGAATTCATTGTTTTTAAAATAAACGAGATATCACTCGAAATAATCTATCGGTTATATCGACGTCTCAGTTCAAGACTGCAATAACTCATATTATGAAACTACTAGTTTTAGAATGAAATAAACGACCCTTAGAAGTGAATAATGCAACTAAAAGTTATTGCGTTATAGAATCGAAATCGTTGTAACTTTACAATTAATATTGCGTAGATAACTCAATTCTGAATATTTTTGAGTAATTGCTGTCTTGAACTGAAGCGTCGATATCTCAATAATAGTTTTTTGAGTTATTGCAGTCTTGAACTGAGGTGACGATATAATGGAATTATTATTTAGATAATCGAGATATCTCAATTATATATCTCGATTACGCCCATCACTAGTGCCAATCACTCAACCGACGGACGGATGTTGTACCAGCGTTGCTATTCGTACAATAATTATTTTACAAACACGGTAAGTCGTGACATTCATCTGATGTACAATAGGTTTTTAGCACGGTGTAGAATCTTGTCTATACCGCGGTTTTAATCATCGTACAAAAAAATACGATGGTTGTCATCGACTTTTTTTTAACATCATTTTCTATTAAATTAAATGCATATTACTGCAGCACTTGCAGCTCCACTGTGAAAAGTGATAATGATTAATGACCAAAAAAATAATGTATTTCCGTAAAATTTATATTATTGAACCATAATCACGATTATAGATAGGATCCACAGATTTGTAAAACAATTTATTAGGTTGTTTTCACAAATATATCTGTGATAGGATCCTATCAAGGTGGATATCCATTTTGGATTATACTATGGATTAAGATAGTGCTACCTTAATTCATAGATCCTAGAAGATATCTTCTAAGACCGTGGGTCCTATCCATAGGCGTGCGCAGACTTTATTCGCAGGTTATGCAATAAGAAATATAGGGCCCCTCACAAATAAATTTTCTAATCTGCCCTTAATTTATTTGCATTTTCTTTTAACGCATATAAGATTCAAGTCACAATCTAAGTTTTTGCATATATACTATTTAGCTTCTTTACTTCCCTTAGAATCTAAAATCACACATAGTTTTACAGTAGAATATTAAACAATGCACTGTAGAAATAAGTAGTTTGAAATTTGATTTATATTTATTAAAAAAAAATTTATTATTTATTTAAGATCAAGTATGTACTATATTGAATACTTTTGAACATTTTAACATATTTATAATGTTGTTATTTTATGGAGAGTACTTAAAATCTAAAGTTCATGTCTTCTTTTTATCGGTACACATGCTTTGAATTCATCTATTACATCTTCAATATTGATTTCTGATGCCATCTTTTGTTCGATAAATATTAACATCAGTGAATCAAGATGTTCTTGTAACATAGTGTTTCTAAGTTTAGACTTCACAATAGACAATTTGGAAAAGTCCCTCTCACACGAGCAGCTTGTCACAGGTATTGTTGCAAATTGTGTTAAAGCTTTATTGAAGTTTGAAAATATTGTTTTCCGGTCGTTTTCTGATAACCAATTCAGCCATACTAAAATTGTTTTAGTTGATGACCCTCTAATAGAAGTTCTATCAAATATATTTGTAATGAGCTTAATTTCACACTCAAATGTAGTATTCAAATTAAATTTTACCTTCAACATTGAAATATCATTACTATCAAGCTTTAATTGATTTAAATTTCCTGTGGCGGTAATTAAATTTAAAGTTTCTTAACTTAATAATAAATATGGGCCCCTCGCATGAAGCCGCAGACTATGCAGCGGCATACCCTGCATACCCCGTGCGCACGCCTATGGTCCTATCTATAATCGTGGCCAAGATTTTCTTTATAGATCTTAAATTGTGACCACGTCTAGATAGATAAACAATACATACATTAATTAATAATATATTGTTTATCTATCTCGATGCCAACGGTTTATTGTTATCTGTGTTATCTCTTAGGTTTAATCTATGCGCACTCGCGCGCGCGATTCTGATAACAGTTTGTCTTATTGTGTGGAGTTGATAGTGAAGTTTTTAATATGATTGTTTTTTTTTTTTTCATTTTAGTAACTTGGCTATCAATAACTTAACTTTTTGTACTCTCGTCCCATTTGCGTCTTTACAATACGAAATCGTAAATTATATCATACCTAAATCAATCCCCAGTTCGTTTCACGATAATGTTGTCAGAGCACGAATAAGGTACAAACGCAGATTATATTAAACTGTTTTATATAATCTGTGGTGCAAACAACCAGTTTATTCGCGTATTCAGATCACCATAGTAAGTATTGCTAACACTGTCAGAACATGGAAGCCCCGACTGTTGACGGGATGGCAAGTGATTTTCAACCAGTCTCTGGAGTGACAGCTAGTGATTTATCATCAACATCAGTCATCGAGATGGAACACAGTTTGTCACCAGTTATCATTAAGACCGAGAAGCATCTTGATAACGTTAATGTAGAATGTTGTGTGGTCAATGGTGATAACGGTGATATTGTTGAAGTGAAAACACTTCGAGATGTAGTGCGACAGCAAAAAGATGAGCTTGACTATTACCAACGACAATTGGCCATAAATGAACATAAATATTTGACAGATGTCAACAATTTACAATTACAGTTGCAGTCTTCGGAGAAGATGTACAATTCTGCCAAAAATGAGAAGGAAGCTGCATTCATGCGATATGTTCTTAAAGAAAAAGAAATACTAGATTTGAATACAGAAAAAAAAAAATTATCAGACACCTTGAAAGAAAGAGACAAACAGATTGTACGTTTGAAAGCCAACACTAAAGATGTTGCTAATTATATGAGCATCATTGAAACAAAAAATAAAGAAATAAAGGAGTATAAACTTCTGATTGACTTGCTAAAAGATGAAAAAGTAAGAATTTCCAAAGACTTAGATCACTGGAAAACTAAATATGAACAAGATACCAAGTGTTCGTTTGAGACAGAAGGTAAACTATTACAAGAAATTCAAGAATTACAAAATAAATTAGAATCTTTAACCAAAGAAAATGAATCATTTAATGAAGAAAGTAATTTGGAAAAAATAATACAGAATAGTCAATTATTCCTAAATTTAAAAGAATTCTCTGAACATCAATTACAGGAAGTAGAAAAACTAAAAACTGTTATTGAAGAATTGAATCATAAACTTACTGAGTGCCTGAGTACTGTCAATTCTTTAGAAAATGAAAATATTGACCTTAAAACTCATATGGAAAGTTGTGAAATCAAGACCAATGAATTGCTTGTATTCACTGAACATTTAAGTTCACGAAATGCTTCTCTACAGTCTGATAGTAAAAATTTACAAACATATTTAGATAAATTAAAATGTGAATGTGATATATTAAAGCAAAAAAATATTGATCTCAAGACTGCTTTTGAAGTTCAAAAAGATTCAATAACTAAAGAAAAAGAACTTTATGACTGTGACAAAAAACAGTTAGCTAGCCATCTGGCACAGAAAATGCAAATGATTGCTGATTTAAAAACTACATTGGAGCGCACTCAAGATGATTTACATGTTACTAAACGAAAGTTTAAATCTACTGTAGCTGAATTGACTAAAGAGTTACAGAAAAAAAATGTGGCAGACACTTCAGTCGAAATGAAATTAGTATTAGACAAGATGGTGAAACTTCAACAAGAAAATGCTAGGCTTAGTGAAAAGCTAGATTTTGTTGAAGATCACAACAAGCATTTAGTATGTGAACTAAAAAAAAAGAGTAGTATTATGCATAAACATGGGATATCTAATGGTAAGAATGGTGTAAGCGAGCAAAAAACAAAACGATACTAACATGTTAATTTGCACTATTAATTGGATTTAACGCTTTTATTTGTTTATTTATTATTAATTGTTTTTATAATAATTTATGAAAACATAAAAAATGTATCTAGTCCATTCATGTTACTAATTATTTTTGGTGTAATTATTGAGAATTTATGAAATACATTTTAATAACTAATTTAAGTGAACTTTTTGACTGTTTTTAACTAATTGTATTTACCTACTAAAATGTAAATATTTAATTCATAACAATAACAGATTATTGTACAGTTCATGTAAAAATATACATTATATACCTAGCAAATAATTATTTTATAATTTTATAATAACATGTATGTGTTAAAGTTGCACTAATTTCAATTATTTTAAGTTTTTAACTTAATGAAACAAGATATATCAAATTTATAGAATTATATTTTTCTTATGTAACAAGAAAAATAATCATAATAATAATTAGTTCATATTCATGTATTATAATGAATATGTAAGAGGTAATTTGGTGTATCATTAATAGTCAACAAGAAAAGAGAAAATGGACTAAGATGGTTTGAGCATATAATGAGGCGAGAGGAAACAAAAGCAGTAAGAATGGTTATGAAAATAAACATTGAAAGGAAAAGAGGAAGAGGAAGATCAAAAAAGAGATGGTTGGATATGATTGAGAATGATATAAGAGATATTGATGCGTGTGTAATGGATGTAGATAATTGAGACAAATAAAGGTGGCCAATTTCAAATGTGAGAAAGGTGAAGAAGAAGAAGATGTATGTGTATTGTATAAAAAATAATTTGTTTGTCTGAAAACAATAGGAGGTTTTGAGTTTAATTAATATAGGCAGTTAAAATTAATTATTTGTAAAAATACACTAAATTTTATTCTATAAAGTAGTTTGTTTAAAAATGTTTTTTAGTGCCAACTGTAAAGTGAAAATTATGTGGGACTAAAAAATATCCAGCTTTTGACTAGTGTCAAGATTTGAAAGTCATTGTATTATATAGAAATATGCTGTGTCCTATACAAGATGAGCTGTCATCAAATAAAAATGTTCCATGGTCGGAGGTGACCTATTAAAAATATAGAATGTTCAGGAAAGTTTCTCTAGTACCATTAAATATATATTTAACCATAGCTTGGGAGTATAAAAAGAAAAAGGATCTTAATACAAATAAATATAGATTGGTTTAGATAATTATTTTAAAGGTTAACACATAAGTATAACTTACTGGCTATGGATGTCTATATAAGACAATACAGAATCTGACTACTTCAGATGGTCATGGATTAACTGCTGTTTCTTATAAATTGGATATTCCAGCATTGATCATATGGTAAAGTAGATTAGAGTACTTTTTTTTCAGCGGTGCCTTTTTTCGGACCCAATTTACCCTCAGTGCCCTGCTGTGAACTACATTACAGAACAAAAAGAGGAGATGTGGTGCCTAATCAGCTTATACAAATATAAACATATTATATGATGAATAAATGAAAATTTTGAATAATCAAGACTTTTTATTTAATAAATTTTAATAACTTTTTTTTATATAATATTACATTTTATTAAACTTATATTATATAAATACATACTATTATTGTCATTTTATAAAATTATCTAGGCTTGATATTTGAAGTAATCAGTCTTATTTTTTTTTTTAGTTGTTTTAAATAATTATTCTTATTTTACTTTTAATTTTTCATGAGTTCACGGCATAATTGAAATTAACATTTTCCATTTATCAAGTATTACGTACCTTCAATATATGGCTATGATTACTTTTAATACATACAAATTTTCAAAAAAATTAGCATGAATAATATAGATTCTATTATATAGAAAATGTCAAAACAATATTCAACAAAAAGTAGGCGAATACTAACAAATAATTGACGCATAACTTATAGTGTAATATATTAAAATGTGGTATAAATAATAGTATTTTAATGACCGAATATAATAATAAAAATAAAGTTAAATAACTAACTTAATAAATAATTCATTTATTTGTAATCATAACCAATGAACATTTTTAATCAATTTATATTATATAAATGTAATTAGTTTTTCAATAATGAACAGAAAAAAAAAACCAACTACTAAATGACAGTAAAAATACAAATATCTCCATACACTTCAAACTTCAAGGTTTTATACAAAGACATATTTTAATGTTAAATTAGTAGTACAATGAAATAGTTGTTATTTTTTTTATTTAACATACAAAAATGTAATATATAAACAAATTTTACAAGATTATCTATTTCAATTAAGCTAAATCTTGTGTTAAAGAATGGGAGTAATATTAACATCTAAAAAAGAAAAAACAAGAAAATACAAATAATAATAATAATGAATAATTTAAACAGCAATAGAAGCTAAAAATTAAAATAATTTAGATTATAAGAGAGAACAACCAATTATATATTATTTTTTTAGCATTATTTTGAGAGAACAGAATATTTTTTTTATACAGACATGGCATAGAGTTGAAAAACACAGGACCTAGATTGTTAACAAAAGATTGACCGAAAGATTTGCACAGGTAGGTAATCAATAGGTCTATCAAAATGTCTATTTCCTTTTTGTTTGCAATATCTTGATCGACAAGTCCTTTACTGAAATGTTTTAATGTGAACAGAATGGCATATTTTATGTATAGAAGTTTAACGGAGAGAACACCCAATTCTCTATAATTATGCGAGGTAGAACCCGATAAAGAATATTTGTTTAGGCAAATTCTAACAATATTATTCTGGTTAGTTTGTAGTTGTTTTAAAAAACAATCTGCTGACCTCCCCTTAATTAATAACCCATATTGAAATATGGACTGGTATAACGCAAAATAAATTAAACGCATTATGTGTTTTGGAACCAAATCTTTTACTTAATAGAATTTATAAGTTAACTGACGTAACTTTCCTACCAAGTTATGTAAGTGTAGAATTTTAACGTAAATTACTATCAAATATGATACCTAAATATCGCGTACTTGAAACCTTTTTTAAACAACTATTTAAGTCAGTACAACTCATACCATCGATACACCTATGTATTTTAATGTGATTAAGTGTTGGGAAACTTTTGTAAATTGATAATGTCATAAACATTGTTTTATTTTCGTTAAGCGTCAGATTTCTGTCACATATGATTTTGTATATTTTATTTAATCCAACAGTCACTTTGTGATGAACCCCGTTCCATGTTTTATCGGTAAAAAGCAAGCATGTATCGTTAGTGTAGGATACTAACAACCCATCAATAATTAAATCGCTTATATAATAAGTGCATTGATATATAATAAAAATAAAATTGGGCCTAGAACGCTTTCTTAAGGGACTCCATATTCAACTAAACCAAGCAGACCCGAAAAGTCATTGATCCTGACCATTTGTTTCCTGTTCGTTAAGTAGCTTTTAAACGAATTTAAGCTATGAATATTAATACCGAAGTTCGGAAAAATTTGGGATAAAACGTTGTGATTAACAGTATCAAATGCCTTAGTTAAGTCCAGGAACACGGCAATTATTTTATTACTGTTGTCTAATTCTCTTTAAATAAACTGAGTTGTCTCATATAAAGCATCTTCGGTATCTATACCAGGTCTGAAACCATATTGGTTTTTCGATAAGAGTTTGTTGGATTCTAGAAAGGAAATTAATCTTTTTTTAATTATTTTTTCAAATATTTTCGCAAAATTATTAAGCAACGATATAAGGCCTATAATTATTGACATTTTTTTTATCTTCAGTTTTGTAAACAGGTTCAATTACAGCTGGTTTAAGAGCATCCGGAAATATACCTTGCTGTGTACCTACTCAAGTTGAAAATATACACAATCGGATCTGCTACAAGTTTGATAATGTATTTTAATAACTTGGTAGTAATCCTATCATGACCAGCAGATTTTTCATCTTAAAGTTCTTTACAAAGTTGATAATCTCATAGTTGACTATCTTTTTAGAAAAAGAATTATCAAAAGAAATATTAGTACTAGCATTTACAGCTTCATTTTTACTAACATAATTTGCTTTCTCTGCTAATTTTTTTCCTCTGTTAATAAAAAATTTGTTAAAAATGTTCAAGACTACCGTTGAATCATTGAAAGTATCATATTTTTGACAGTTGTTTGTAATAGTTTTAATAGTATCTTTATTAGTGTTTTTGGAGCAAGTGATTTCGTTAATAAATTGCCAGGTTAATTTCGGGTTGTTGAAAATCGTTTTGAATTTATTCTCATAACATTTTTTTTTAGCAAGTCTTAGAATCTGTGTATGGTTATTTTATATATTTTATAGAATATTATTAGTTTATTGTTAGGATATTTTTTACATTTTAAAGCTAGGGATTGTTTGTGCCGTGTAGAGCTTAATAGACCAGCTGTCATTCATTATTTTAATCTCAAATTTTTAGAAGTTATTATTTTATAAGTAGTCGATCTGAGAATAATTTCAGAGATAACAATCTGAAACTTGTGTAACATTCATTCGTGTTGTGTTTTTTATACACCACAGTCCATTTCTCTTCCGCTAGTAATGCATTAATATTATCATAATCAAGACGAGAAACATATTTACTTTTATTTGTTAAGTGATTGTTAATAGTTATAGAAACAGAAATTGTATAATGATCAGTAATATCTGTTTGTTATATACCTGCGTTAATTAGCGTGATTAAATTTTCATTGTTATGGATAAATATGTGGTCAAGACATGAGTGCTTTTGTAGTTTGGGTAATCTTGTATATGAGTTGATAAAAGACGCAAAACCATTTTCAGATAATAAATTAAGATAATCATTATTTAATTAGTTAATACCTACTATGTTTATGTTCATATCACCATTGATTATAAATACTATAATACTTACAATCAATGATATCACCTATAAGAATGAAAATTATTTTTTCTCGAATGACTTTGCTTAGAGCAGCGGTTCTCAAACTTTTTTTTCAGCGGTGCCTTTTTTCGGACTCAATTTATCCTCGGTGTCCTGCTGTGAACTACATTACAGAACAAAAAAAACCTATTGATAACCAATTTTATTAATTTTATTAAAATTTAACTTAATTATAAATTAATGCATTTTTATACTTAAAAAATAAATAAATAAATATTATTGTTATTATGATTATAATTATCATATAAAATTATTATAAGGTCAAAATGAGAATATCCGCATATACAATAGAAAATATTACATTATTTGCTATAAAGTTTTTACGAAAACCATAAGAAAAAACAATTTTATACATATTCAACTATTTGTTATGAACTGTACGTAGACCGCGGTGCCCTTAGAAAATGGTCGTGGTGCCCCTAGGGCACCGCGGTGCACAGTTTGGGAATCGCTGGCTTAGAGTATTAAGGGGGCTCCAGTATAGCACGTTTTAAGGAGTAATATTTAGACAATTCATATCACATGTACATTAGAACTGTGTCATTGTGTGAGTAGTAAATAAACATTAGTGTGTGTAATACATTATCGCATGCCACTGTCTACCGGTCAACAGTTTTATGGATTCCCGGAACTACGATAATGATTTATTTTCAAATGTTATACAAATGTACATTACCTACGTATGTATGCGTGGGTAATAGTCTTATACCATTGATTAAATATACTATAATGAATGCATATATACTATAATTACATAAATATTATAATTTATTATACTTGCCATCAATAAAAAGAAATCAGAATAACGGTATTATGGTCTTTATTAGACTAAACATAAACATAGATATGCATGAGTATGAGCATTCCGTGGTAAACATTTTAAAACGGAAATTTAGAGTAAACATTACTCAATTTAATTATGTATGTGTATACAGATCCCCATCAGGTGATCTAAATTAATTTTTTGACGCACCGAGTGCAATAAGTAATAACGTAAATTTGACCAAAACTGGATTAATTGATGTAGTGTTTTATATTCGGTAATCGAAATGTTGCATTGACGTCTGACAGCACAGCTGTTTTTTTAAATGTAGATTCAACTATGAACTATTTTTCTCCACGAATCCACGATAGTTGCAATCAGTGCTGCCGTTAGGTATTGTGGGGCCCTGGACTTAGGTATTAGCTTTTAGGTTCCCAGAGAGGGCCGAAATTCTAGCTTTTTTTTAAAAATATATTGTTTTTCTAAAAATTTAAAACAATTACTATAGAGAAAATAAGTATTTATATTATTATTTACTGTAGGAATCCTACTCGACGGGTATCGTCGTCAAAATATTACGCTTTTATCATATCGATAACGATTTTATTTGTAATTCGTACTATGGCTAAATTTAGATATAATTTTCTAAATAACTGATGATAGACATAATATAGATTTATAATTTGTCGATATAAAATGTCAATGTGTCTCACGGTATTAAGATGATATAATAATTTATTATTATTATATAATTATAATTATAATTAAGATAATTAATAATATAAATCACGGGGCCCTTTAACAAGCGCGGGGTCCTGGACAAATGTCCCATTTGTTCTCCCCTAGCGCCGGCACTGAGTGCAATAAATTATCAATAATCCCATGGATTTTTTTTTTTTTAGATTTCAGATAAATAGTATGTACTATGTATACGCGGTGAACTAAATCCGTAGCGATAATGATCTTATTCTCATTTCTCATAACTTAAAAAACAACGATAGTATCCGATAATATTTTAAATACGGACATTCAGTGGAAGCCCATTTAGTCGAGCTTACATACATAGTGTTGTCCCTATAAATAATAAGATAAGCTATAATAAAGTATAATGATAGTCGTCATTAACAGTAAAATTATAATGGTTTTCAGTATTGACAAAATTGTCAAAATTTATATTAGGTATTCATATTAGAGGCGGATGATCTGTGTATATATAAAATTGTAATTGGAATATCTAGATTATTAATGGAAAGCTTAACAATATTGGTTTCTTCAAATTCATATTCAAAAAATTTGTTATAAAATTATTTCTAACGAAAACAGATATACCATCATTTTAGTTTGTTTTGATTGAAGAGAAACGTTGATTATACCCTGCAATGACATAAGCACCCTGAATTTGAGGATCAGGCCAATTTGCGGTCAGTACAATAACATCGATTTTATTTTTATTTTGTTCACTCTCTAAAAATAATACTAGTTCATCAAAATTGGCGTTAACGCTCCTAATATTTACATAATTATTATTTATACTATTATTAACATCAATAAATTTTGAGAAAGAGTCATTTAGTTAGTTTTGTAACTGAGTTACAAAACCTAACCTATTCATTAATATTTAAGAAATTTTCCATTTTTAACTATTAAGTATACACAAAGAGATTCTGAAAAAGGTTGTATGCTTAGACTAAATTAGATCAGGAGAGCTCATCAAAAATTATATAATCCTTGGTATTTTCATTCTTTTTTAAAAAAAATTAGAATCCTTAAACCATGTGAATTTGTAACCCGCTTCTCGAGCAAAAACTCTAGTTTTAAAAAATAGATTTTATTAAATTGAGTCAAACCATTATTAATATAAATACTATCATTATTCCACTTAGAATCAACAGTTTTACCGGTTAATTTTGTTTTTTTGACACCTTCCATCAAGTTTCTTTTATTTTGTATTGAAGTCGACTCTGCCACTATTTTCCTGGACCTGTTAGAGATTTTAGAAAAAACACGGTAAGTTTTTGACAGTGAAATCTTCACTCCTACTGCAGCTGCAATTGACTCCACCGTTTTGACACAGTCCTCATATCAATCTCCGGAACGCCGTTTTCGAGGCTCAGTGCAGAATTTTGCGGGACCCCATATATATATATTTATTAATTGTTTATAACATTTTTCGTTTGTTCATGTTACTATATAACTAAATAATAATTCGAACCGTCATCGACTATAAACAATTTTACAAGTGCATGCGCGTGCAATATTTCAAAGCTATGCGTAATTGGTACTGTCTTAATTTTCATCGATAACAACACATTTTCTAAGAAAACTACAAGACCACACGGGTTGCGATTTGCGTACTGGGACTATAATATTTTTACTTATAAAGTGATATTCGTAATATACAATTTGTGGGGCCCCATACAAGCGCGGGGCTCGGTGCGATCGCATGGCTTGCCCTCCTCTAGGGCAGGCACTGCTTGCCGAAACCATCAAATTTATCATTCATTAAGTTGACCGAGTCAGTCAATTAGGTCAATTAACGGTGCGTTTTGTGCATTTCAAGTACCCGATTGGACAGTGGTCGAATTACTTTTGGGAGCCTGAGTTTTAGGGCTCGAAAATTTAATTTTACATTTATTGCAACACAAGGTTTTGTTTGGCAGAATTCGACATCATTCAAAGCTGTCTCGTTTCTTCAGAGCAATACAATCAAAATGTAAAAAAACATTGCATTTGGCGCAGCTAAGATTATCGTCTTCAAAAATGTCATCATTACATGCATTACATAACATAGTTGCTGTTAAGGATTAAAAATATAACACAGAAAAACGATAAATCAGAAAACAAACATATATTAAGGACGGAAAACAAATAAGCGAGCGAGCACAAACACATCCGCACTGTTTGCATATCCACTGATTATTTTTATAATGTCTTCCATCAAAATTATATACATAAAAAAAAAAAAAATAATAATAACTATTAAATACAATATTATAAAATTACAAAATAGTTAATTAAATGAACACAGAGAATTTGTATCAAACACTTTATTAGTTAATCTTATTTACAACAAAATAAAATTACAGATAGTAATTTTTATAAATATATAATTTAAATTAAATGTTGTATTCATATAGCATATAAATCAAGTTTTTATGTGATAGTTTTTAACATTGCACATCATTTAACAACAAAGATACATTAATAATCTAAAATATAATTTGCATTATCTTGGCATATTAGTGAGATCAACCACTTCTACTGGATAAGTGTCATCAGGAAATCCTGCTAAAGCAAAACGGTAAGGTGGTAATGGTTGTTGCCGCCTAGAATTGCTGCCACCTCTCTTCCTACCTCTCTTAGCAGTTGCTTTCGGAGGAAGCCCTTTAATTATTTAAAAAAACATAAGCATTGCACAGAGTGTAAAAGAAATATAATAATTAATAAATGATTAATGAATTAATTGATAAATGATAAGTAAATTAGTCAAAAACACTGATTAGATGGTCTATAGATATCAGACATAAGAAAATGAAATATTATCAGAAAATGCATACTTTCTGTTAGTAGTAATTGTCTTTGATCTTTAACTGCACCACCTATAAAATCACAAATCTTGGTAATATAATTGTCCAAAGCCAAACAGTTGGAAACGGTTAGAATAGGAGCTCTACAAACAGGACATATTTTAGTTCTATTCATCCATGTCTCAATGCAAATTTCACAAAAAGTATGGTTGCAATTTAGAGTCATAGCCTGAAAAAATAAAATAAGTTATCATATCAATTAAGAATAAAAATTAAAAATTGTTTACCTTGTACACTAACTCACTGCAAATAGAACATTGAAATTCACTTTCTAACTGAGAATAGATCAGTTGTTTCGATGAATCAGATGAACCCACATCATTTGATGCATCTAAAATTTTTATTTAAATAAATTAATCATCAAGAACCTTTCAATCAGAAATATAAGACATAAGAAATGTATAAAACAACATACCCTTTAATTTCACTATTAGTGTAGAAATTTCGTTGGTCATTTCTTGAATCATATCTTGTTCCTTAAAGATAGTGGTATACAAATTAAAACACAAATATAATCATGAAATTGTTTACATAATATATGATGAAATATAAAACGGGGAATAAGAAAAATACGATTGAATAAACATTGATTTCTACTTACTTTTTTAGTTTGTATACTTGTAATTTCCACAATATTACTCATCATATTTTGCATTTCAACTAATTCAGTTTTAGCTTTATTGCGTAATACTATATGGTCAGCTTTTAACTATAATCGAACAACAATAATAATGATTATTATAATACTGTGATATTTTAAATATTATCAGTAATTTCTAACAAAATGACAACTAATAAAGTTAAACTTACATTCAATATTTCCGTATAAAGATTTGTTATGTTATTTTTATACGATTCTTCTCCAGTATAAACTTCTAAACCATATTCATTGTATAATCTAAAAATAAATAGATATATTTAATAAGTCAATAGAAATAATAAATATAATTTAAATAATTAAAAAAATATAAGGAGCAATAAATTGAATTCTTGTTTTAGTGTTCTTTTAACAGAATTATAATAATCTTTTATATTAAATGGTTCAAATATACAAACATATGTAGTAAATAGAAGAGTAATATAATTATACTTATGTAAAAAAATATTTCTGACGTAAAATAAAAATATTAGCACCAAGTACAAAAAAAAAAATTAATATTGTATTAAGAATAGTTTTAATTTTCTAATTTCCTGTTATTTAAATATAAATATTCCTTTGAAATATTTTTAATTTATTTACATTACTATTTTAAATCAATTTTATTTACCTTGGTTTTTTGTTGGAGATATTGTGTAAGATAAATTTGAATGTTATAGTAATCTTTCTTTTATCACCGAAGCCAATAAGATCTCCTTGTCGTAATTCTGTAATATTACTTGTACTTCTTGAAAGTCTTTCGCAATTTAAGAAAGTACCTGAGCCTGATTGCTATTTTTTGATTTATATAAAAAAGAAAATAATTGTAAGGATTAAATTCAAAAACATAAATTTCATAATTCTTATTCGATATAGGTTTTTAATTTATATAAAACTAATTAAATTTATTGAAAATATTTTTCAATATAAAAATTAAAAACCATAAAGTTAATGACATTTAATTAAAATATAAATTAATTAATACAATATATTATTAAATGTTTAAACAATTTATTAAAAATAATTTTATATTTTTCATTATATTACACAAGTAATATATCCTAACCAAACTCGAAAATAAAATTAGGATCGTAAGACTTCTCCAAATAAAAATAGGCAATCTACTTACCAAGTCAGATATGAAATAACGGTTATTTTCATATTTGATTGAACAGTGACGACGAGATATGAATAACTCTTCAATGATGACCGAAGATGTAAGAGCGCGTCCAATGATAAACTGTAGAGATAAATATTAATGTCAGTTATTAGTCTTATAGGTATAGAATTAGAACATTATATATTAGACAATATCAACTTATAGCCACTTATAGTCAATCACACAGAGGACTAGGCGCTAAGGGAGCACTGAAATTTCAATTGAGACACAGCCACACGACCAATAAAATAGTACCAATATTAGTTAAACGTACTTCTGAGTCCTGGTTGATCGGAATCACCCGACCAGTCGCTACGTCCATTAAAGATGCTCCCGCTGAACAATCTTCGCTGATGGGACGTTTAGAAGACCGCACCACGTTCTTGATATCTTTTAACATAATGCTTGATGAGCAGTGCGCAACACAAAGATAAACAGTATTTTTCTAACCGTATACGGTAATTTTCGAGCGATCGGTCATAAAAGGCGGAACGAAAAATGCCATTCGAACACGAAAAATGTTTGTGCGACTTATCGTTACGCTCGGTAGCGGTACGATCGCGTAGCAGTGTGACAAGAAGTTATGTATTGTTTAATCTTACTTGTTATCATTGATGACAAACGGCTAACCATAATTTGAACGGTAGAAAGCATAGAGTAATATTACTCTATGGTAGAAAGGGTCAACGACAAGATGGCGGCGGGTACGCGGTACAAAACAGCACAGATGGGTAGCAGCACACGAATAAACTATCATCTCCGAAACAGTATCGAGCGCTTGTTTACGGCATCGGCGGTACAGTATGACCATGGTCAGAAAAATGGAAAATTCAAAACGCGCTACTGCCGGATGGCCGCCGCTGAAAATCGAAAATTTTGTAACGTAACAGACGATCGTTTCAACATGACCGATTTTGTAAAAATACAGTATTACAGTTTTTTAATGTTATTTAGCGATGTGATATTCGAACTAAAATCGTATACGATCTGGCGTTGGGGAAACTCTTTAGTAACCGCAGTGGCGGATATAAATAATAAAGCCCAAGCGGCATACAATATAAGAGGCCCAAGAATTATGAAACGCCGTAAATACTAACTCGTGGGGAACGTCCCTTTTAAAACACTGTTAAACTAGATAGGTAATGAAAAAAAATGAAAACAAATAAATTCATTTAAATCGTTTTAAAACTGGATATAATTTCTGCACGAGGAACATGAAAAACTTACATACAAATTGTACTCAAAGAATTTTAAAATTTTTTGTTTTTTATATATAAATTAAAACATTTGTAAGGACGTTATTCGTACAAGGTTGAAGACCGTTAAAAAGTCCAAATTCAATGAATGGTTTTACAGTTAAGATATTCTTACATTATGATTTGAATCAATCTACGTCTATGTTCGACGGATGTTCTTAATAATTACCAGAATGTTTATGATAAAACAAAATTAAATACTAAGGATTTCGGTTGAAATAAAAATAGACGTGTTATTTACGCATGTCAACGCTGTGATTCGGCTCGGCGATAACGTCGTTAAATACCCACAAAATAATATAAATTAAAATAGTTAATGACGATGCCGGTGTGTATATTTTCATAGTACGAGTACATGGTAAAATATAGTCATGTAAATAATTTATAACACTACACAGTATTATTATTACTAATTTCTTACAATTATTACTCGGTGTGTTACAATCTATAGTTCCGCACATAATGTAGCGGTAGCGGTTCCGGTGGCGATATTATAGCTATGATTTTGTACAATTAATATTAATTTTTCAATATATTTTTTTTTTTTTTAAGAGATATGATTACGGATTATAATAATAAACTGTACTGTTGATTTTGACGTTAATTTAAACAATAATCAGTAATTCAATCAATAACGAAATATCATACAGAAACGTGTTTTGGAAAAATAAAATTTATTTATGTGCCTGTAAATAAAAATAAACTATTCGATTACAATCGAACACAATTTATTATTAGATGTTGGATACATTTAGGTACATTATTAATATATATGTACATTAGTACATACATATTTATACTATTCATAACCCCGGGACAGTAAATTATTCCCCACCATGCTGTGTGTCATCGGTCTGACGAAGAATTAAAAATACGGGCAGTATTCGATGCTTCGGCCAAGACCCATGAATGAATTTCATTAAATAGCTGTCTTCACCAAGGTCCAAAGCTGCAACAAGACATTGTGGACATTTTGACCCGATCCGAGTGCACAAGTTGGCGTTTACAACAGATAGCTGCAAGATGTACCGGCAGGTGTTAGTGGCACCCGAATACCATACTCTCCAGCATATTCTGTGGTGGGCTTCACTCTACGATCAACTTGTCGAATATGAGTTGAACACGGTGACTTACGGTATGAACTGCGCGCCGTTTTTGGCGCTCCAGGTGTTAGTCGCCATAGCAGATGAAGATTGCGCTGGTCACACTGCTGTACGGCAAGCGATACTGCAACAAACATATGTTGATGAAATATGTGTCGGGGCTGATTTGATTGACGACGTCCTTAATCTCCAGCGTGATTTAATCGCTGTGCTCAGCAAATACGGTCTGGAGCTTAAAAAATGGTCCAGTAATTTCCCAGCATATATATTTTCCAAGCATATAATGTAACGGATGTGAATAGGCAAATTCGGATGGGACGATCCGTTTACCAATGATATTCGTCAAGAGTGGGCCACATTTATCAGTCCATTGGCGTGTCTCCTCCCGATCAAGATTCCACGTCGTTTCAACACGCGTTCCGCTGCACCGTGTTGTCTATTGGGTTTTTGTGATGCCTCACAGCACGGGTATGCCATCGTTGTGTACCTCCGTATGCTGGACGGCCGGGATGACGTCGCGATTTCATTGGTCGGCTCGAAAACTAAATTAGCACCAATTAAGTCATAGACAATTCCGCGACTAGAGTTGAACGCTACTGAGCTGTTAGCACGTTGGTTGCATCGCCTCTAGGGCATTCTCGATTTTCAACTCAATATCGCCGGTGTCCACGCATGGACAGACTCGACCATCGTATTGTCTTGGTTGGTCAACCGTTTTGAGACATTCAAGATATACGTGTCGAACAGGGTACACAAAATCAATATCCTCCTTCCGAGTTGCATTTGGTCACACGTTCCGTCCGTGGAAAACCCCGTCAATTGCGTGTCTAGCGGTGTGTTACCGTCAGAGCTTCCATCGTTAAACCTATATTGGAAAGGGCCCGACTTCCTTCGACGTGATCCGTCATCGTGGTCAGTCGGTGCGGCTCCGGTGCCGTTGACCGATTTACCAGAAGTTCATGTGATGTCTTTGGCCGTCAACATACACACTCCCACGGCCGAATGGTTTGAAGATTTTTCATCCTATGACAGATTAGTTCACGTTGTGGTATATGTTTATCGTTTTGTTCACCGATGTCGACGTTGCAACGTTCGAGTCCCAACGCCTATATGTTGTGCAGTTGTTGTACGAGTTATTTCACGGTTGTACTGTGTCGGATAAGCCACTCGCCTGCCTATGTCCATTTATTGATCCTGGCGGCATCATCCGATTTTGGTGGTCGCTTGCGTAACTCGCTATTGACGTATGATTGTCGGCATCCTATACTTCTAGCAAAACGTTCATGCCTTGCCATTTTGTTGTGTCGTCAGTGGTATTGTATTAGTTGTCATGCCGGACCTCGTGTCGTAACAGCCCTAGTGTCCCGACAATGTTGAATAATGTCGGTACGATCGGTTCTACATCGAGTTACCAACGAATGCACGGTTTGGGTCCGATTTGATCGTCCATCACCACAGCCACTGATGTCTGACCTACCAGCTGCCCGTGTACAGCAGTGCCACCCATTTGCCCTTGTGGGAATCGATTTTGCCGGTCCGCTGCAACTAAAAGAGACTCGCCTACGGAAGTCTCGATCATATAAGGTGTATATTGCTGTTTTTGTTTGTTTCACTGTGAAGGCTTGCCATCTCGAGGTTGTCACTGATTTATCAATAGCCGCTTTCTTCGCGGCGTTTGATCGTTTAGTTGCTCGACGTGGCTTGCCGTCGGACATTTTCACCGATTGCGGCACCAACTTTGTGGGCGCCGACCGACAATTACACGCGATAATCAATAGCTTGAAAGGGCAAACTGCATTAAGTGATTCGCATTCTTATTGTTCCTGGCATTTCAACCCGCCCAGTGCTTCTCATTTTGGTGACTTGTGGGAGGCTGCGGTGTGCTCCATGAAAAGGTTATTGACTCGTGTCATGGGCAACCATCAATATTCGTATGAAGAGTTCACGACCGTACTATGTCGGGTGGAAGCAGTGCTCAATTCCCGTCCTCTAACACCGTTATCATCCGATCCGGTCGATCTAGATTACTTGTCTCCGGGTGTCTTCCTTATTGGCCCACCGTTATTTGCTGGGCCGCCCAGGACTTCGCCGTAGGACAAGTCCACTCTCGGAAGTTACTGGACCAATGCCACCAGGCGTTTTGGCGACAATGGTCCAACGAATATCTGACTACGCTACAAACGCGCACCAAATGGTCATCCAATGTGCCTAATGTACGCATCGTTATATGGGATAAACAAACCCCTCCTCTTTCGTGGTGTTTTGGTCGAGTGGTCGCATTATTACTCGCGCCGACGATGTCGCCTGAGTCGTCCGTTTGCGAACCAGTCATGGAGAAATAACACGGCCCGTCGTAAAGTTAGTCGTGCTCCCCACCGAAGGGAACCATACAGGTATCCCCTTTTAGATGCTACTCACGCTCTGAGACACATATTACTGTATACATTTTTTTTTGATTTGTGTATAATTTCGTTGTTTTGTGCTACTGTAACAGTCATTCCATTTTATTTTATATTATAATACTATGTACTTTGTTGTATTTTTTTTTTATTATTTTTTGTTGTGATAAGTGGTGAGTGACAACAACTGATCCTATGAAGTCTTCGTACTTCAGTCAACAGTCCAATCAAAGCATTGAACCAGTGGATGTGAGGCTGTGCCTCCCACGGGGGGAGTATGTTTGTGCGCAATCACCATCTTTCCGGTAGATGTCGCGACGAGCACTGAATCGTCGCGAATGTCGTACCTGTTCCTCATCACACCTATATTGTGTAATTGGGCACTCGTATTTTACCGTTGGCGCGGACATCCCACCTCATTCCTTTTCTCGCGCTCGGTCTCGGATGAGCTCTTTTTCTCTCGCGTTTAGTTTTTCGGCAGTGTCGTGTGGTTGGGGTCGGCCGATCGGTTTTTCCGCGTCCGTGCCACCAATTTTCGACGGAACGATCGAGCTTGCGTCGAGTTGTGTACTCCCTCGTGTGTGTACAACAGTGCCGTCGTCCGAGTTTGGTAACCGACCGAGTGAATCGTCCATTTGACGTTGTCCGCATTCCTTCTGCTTCCACGTGGTTGTCACACGTGACCACATTTTACGCCATTGTGCCGTGTGCGTCGCGTCCTCCAGGAGTGCCAACTACTTCCCCGACGAGCGTAGTCCTTTGGTGATTATTTGGTTTGGTACTCGTGTCACTAGCCATCGTAATCTAGGATTCAGCTGCCGTCATTCGTGTCATCACCCCGCCCATTCAGATAATAGTGTTTATTATTTTTTGTTTTACATGTAATATAATCTTGTTTATGTCCATCCCCACACCCTACTTTGGTGTTATGTTTTTCTACTTTTTTTAGCTTAAGTGTCCATTCCGCATATCATATATAGAATTTAAGGTTTTCCATTTAAATAAATTGTCTTTTTTTCGGAAGCGCACGTCCGCGAGTGTCACGCGGCCAGCTAGCGATTTTTTCTCAATAGCTCCGCGACAGTGCGTGCCAACAGGTACTATTCCTACTATGATTATTTGTTGTTTTTTTATACAGGATTCAGACTGAAGGTACAATTTTAATATAAGAACTATTTGTGTTGTTATTATTAATACTTATTTTATATGCAGTAGGTTTTAAATATATTTATTAAATAAGTATTATATTAAATTTGGTACTTGTATTTTTATTTATTCACTCGAATGAGCAACAGGAAAATGAGTTGTAAACAATGAACCAGGAGCGTTCCCAGGAATTGTTTGGGGGGGGGGGGGGGTCCAACATTTTTATTTTATCTGTTGTATTGAAAAAAAATTAGTTTCCCCCTCCCATGGCCTCAACTCAAATACGCCCTTGGCATATGTCCATTTTTTCCCCGTTAAATCCGCCATTGAGTATCCGGTACATTTTAAAATTACATAACATCGTATTGTAAAACGTAATTAATTATAAAAAAATACAATTGAAAATGAATACTATGTGTATTCACGACCAAGTTTTACAGTTATATCATAGACAACTGCACTGGAGTTTTTAGTCAGTCGAACAATAATGTTATGATAAATCTCTTTTGGCATAAACCAGCGTTTATTTACGGCCGGGAACTTGGATTTTGATTAAAATTATAACTCTTTTTCAAGCTTATATATGTGCATCTTACATACAATGTCCAAAATTGTACAAAATCAAATTTTGTACAAAATAAAATGATACAATTCGCGATGTGTACAATGTTCGTTGTGCAAATCTTAGTTTATAAAAGATAATATCTAAGAATAATTTAATGTTATAAAACTATATATTATATATCATGTTATTAAAATAATATAATATAAACTCTTATATAGTATATTATATACTATAGTTTATTGTTATTAAAATAAAATCGAGAAAATTTTTTATGATTCCCATGTTTTTTAGCATTTGACGTATAGGTACTAGTATAACCATGTGCGTAGGCAAAGATTATTTATGAGGCGGGGGTTTGATATATTTAGATTATAACTATTTTTATTATTATCAATCTATTTACTAGCTGGGATTTTGGAAATAGCGGGGTTTGAACTCCCAAAACCCCTTTTACCTGTACCACTGGGTATAACTTAATAGAAATTATTACGATTATCTGAACAATTTTACAATTATAATTATAATATATTGTAGATACTGAGACTGACATACTGTCGTGACATGTCGTTCAGAAAAACGACTTTAACAGACTTTTGTATGGATTAGTGCACTTTAATATTTAAACGTGTATTAGTGTAATGAAATTGAATGCAGATGAAAATAATTTTGATTTTAAAACTTTGTTCGACGAAAACATGAAAAAGTATTAATTTAAGTACAAATTTAATATCCATGGATAATGAAGAAGATTAAAAAATAATAAATAACGTACTAGAAACAAAATATCGAAAAAATAAGACTTTATTAGACTATGACCTTAAAATCGCTACGACATTATAAATGTAGACAAAGTTAATGAATTTATTTTTCCATTATATAAATCTGAATATAATGTAGTTAAATTATAAGTACATAATGATGAAATGTACGATATTCTTGAAAAGTCTCATAAAGTAATTGAACATGGTGGTAAAATAATTTATAATTTAAAAAATAACTACGCGTTAATACATCTTATTCTTTTATTCAATTTTGTAAAAATAATTTTGAAACATGTTAAAAAAGAGTTAGAATAAAAGAGAAGTAATTGTTAACCCTATAGAATTGAATTAAGTCAATGCACGTGGACAGGTTGATTTAATCGTTATGCAGTCTTGCAATGGCAGGTTAGCGAACGCGTCGCGGTGCGATCGAATGTTTTGCCCGTGCAGATGATAATGATTTTCGGGTAAGTTCGATTGATTAGGCTTAATACAAAGGTGAAGATTGAACTTAAACGTCCAGAGCCGTGTACGCATGATGATGGTGTGCTCGGCGCGCTTAAGTCAAAAACACCCCTTCCCATTACGGATGATTTTTAGCGAAGATCTATTTTAATTATATACTCGTGTTAATTTTTAATCATAAATTGATTTTACGTTTACGAGAGTAATTCCTGAGAGTATATTCCAGTTTTCATTGGTACTATCTGTGCGCAATACATTTATAACAAAGTGGTGAGTATTATTATATATTTGTTCTATGAATGATTTACAAATGTGTGTTGTAAATATGCATGTTTGAAAGTTGATCCCTACATTCTGCACTTTTAAGTCATACGTTTAAGTCGTTTAAGGTGGAACCAAAATAATTCTTGAAACGAGCGCTAAATGAGCTTAAGTCGGCCCCGGTCGCAATGTATTCTGCGTGTATTATAATATTATTCCGAGTAACATAACTCGTGCCCACGGAACACGCGCTTGACCGTAGTCGAAACGGAGCATACTAGTTGCCTCCGAAAATATACGAATTGCTTCCCGTCCTTATCGTAAATAAAAATGTTAATTTACCCTGGTTGCCTCCGATGACCAGGTAGTTCATGTTTATATACGAGTTGCCTCCCAAGATTTTTCACACTAGTTACCTCCCGTATAGAATTAAAATTAAATTATTTCAAATAGATATTTATTTCAATTAAAAAGTATTAAAATTTTTATTTAAATACAAATATTCAATACATATAATTCAAAAAATATTTAAAATACATTTTTTAAGCTTTGTTGTTGTCAAATTCTTAATTATTAAAACATAACGATAAAATAACATTAATTTCTAGTAACTAGTGACTTACTTAAATTAAAAAATAAAACTAAAAAAATAAAATAAATACATTTTAATCATTTGTAAACTTCATTAAACGGTTCCACATAAATAATGTTTATTCATTTTCGTAAATAATATCTATCTCACCCAAAACATTCAAAGCTTCATTTCTCGTTTTAGGTAAGTTCGGCAAAATTGAGCGTACGACCTCGATGTATATTTTTTTTTCGTATACCACACATTGGTAGTTGTAATAGTATCTATTTTATAGTGTCTTAATTCTTCATGTAATCACTTCGAAGACCTTTCACATAATAATGTTTTAGTGACTGTTTTTCTTTCTAGAGTTACTAATTTCTTACCTATTAAGTAGGTACTTGTTTAGATAATGCTATTTGATTATTATAATTCAACTTACTTTCGTCAAATATTAATTTGTCATTTTTATCTGCTTTTAAAAAAACCTTACACATTTTTGTCGCACAGTTCCACTGTTCTTTGTTAATGGCTAACTTTTTTTTGAAAACTTAATCTAAAACCTTTGATTGTTTTAATATATTCTCTCTTTTCGCTAAATACCTGTGTCCGCACTTCACATTGATCAATTCTAAAAACGTTTGTAAAAATAATATCGTACAACGATAACGAGTGTCGAAAATCAACTGAATGTTACTCGATCACGTATATTATTTACCATAGTCTGGCTCAGATCTAATTTGCATTATATCTAATCATTGCACAAAAGAGTATAGAATCTTAATGGTTCATCGTATAGATATAATCGTATCAAATATTAAATATAACAAAAGTCATCAATTACGACTTTGAAATTACAAACTTATTTTGTTACATGATGTTTGAAAATATTTGAAACCACTTATATATTTATTACCTGACTATTG